ATGGCGTTGCCGTTCCTCTCTTGGAGCATGAGGCCACTCTCCTCCGTCAGGCCCTCCTTGCAGCCTGGACTGTGACCTTGCAAGTTGCCCCACAGCGGGTCTGCCTGGCCATGCGGCGGGTGGGACACAGCGGGGGCCGGGGCCACCCGCCGGCAGCGCAGCAGGCGGCCATAGGCGTTGCGGAAGTCGCGGTTCAAGGCGGCGTACAGGATGGGGTTGATGGCGGAGTTGACGTAGCCCAGCCAGAGCACGATGGTGTAGGCGGTCTTGGGCACGCTGCCCTCCCGCAGCCCCATGATGGTGAACAAGGTGAAGTAGGGGAACCAGCAGACGATGAAGGCCCCCAGGACGGCAGCCAGCGTGACGGTGGCCTTGTGCTCGCGGACGGCGGGTGGGGGGCCGTGCGCCGCGAGGGGGGAGGAGGAGGAGGCGGCGGCGGCGCAGCAGGAAGTGGCGATGTTGATGCGCTTGGCCTGCTCCCGCGCGATCTTGAAGATGCGGTAGTAGGTGGCGCACATGACCGCCAGGGGCAGGTAGAAGGTGCCGAAAGCGTCCACCAGCACGTAGCCGCGGTTCAGCTCGAAGCGGCATTCGTCCTGCGGGTCGCCCCGGCCCTTGTTCTGCACGCTGAAGTCGGGCGTGTTCCAGCCCAGGTGGATGGGCAGGAAGGACACCATGAGCGACACGGCCCAGATCAGGGTGATGACGGCGGCCACGCGGCCCGGCGTGACCAGGGCGGAGTAGCGCAGCGGCGCGGTGACGGCGAAGTAGCGGTCCAGGCTGATGATGAAGAGGTTGAGGATGGAGGCGGTGCACAGCATGACGTCCAGGCTGATGTAGATGTTGCAGAAGGTGGCGCCGAAGGGCCAGTCGCCGTTCAGCTCCTGCACGGCGGAGAAGGGCAGCACCAGCAGCCCCAGCAGCAGGTCGGTCACGGCCAGCGACACGATGAAGCAGTTGGTGACGCTGCGCAGCTTGCGGCTCACGCCCACCGCCAGGAACACCACCACGTTGCCGCAGACGGTCAGGCCGATGATCGCCGCCAGCACCACGGACAGCAGCAGCGTGGAGAGCATGGAGTGGCCAGGAGGGGGCGCCCCAGAGCAGCTGCTGTTGTGGCTACAGTCCATACTCCCCTGACCGCGCCGCTGGCACAGACATGGGGCTGCTGGCGCTCCTGGACCTGGAACAGCCTGAGAAGAGCAGCAGGCCTCCACAAGGCCTGAAAACTCACCAGGACGCTGAGTGACTTCACCGGCAATCGTGAGGCTTGCAGGTGTGGAGGAAGTAGGAAGCGGGGGGGGGGGCAGAGCGTTTGTCAGGTTGCTGCAGAGGCGACAGACCTGCTCCTGGGAGACAGGGGGCGCTCTTGTCAGCCTCCCAGCTCCTGCAGACTTCCCCACGGCTGCCGGACCTGTTGATAATAACAGAGGGATACAGTAGGTGTCGTGCTGGGCTGACAGGATGGGAGAGGAACTCGGAAGCAAAGAAGGAAGAAGGACACAGGGCCTCGCTGTAATGTTAATATGGTGTGTTACCATTATTGTCACTATCCAGCCATCTGCCAATACAGGGTCACGGTGGAGCCAGAGACTATCCCAGAAGGCAACAGGCATTAGGCAGGGTGCACCTGGACATCACAGACTGGGGGAAGAAGCTGGAGCACCTAGAGGATACCCACACAAACAGTAGGATAACATACACACTCCACACAGACAGAACAGCCAGAATTGAACCCAGAGCCACAGTGCTGCAAGGCAGCAATGCCAACTACTGTTCCACCGTGCTGCCTATATTACTCTTATTATGACAAACTTTAAAAATATATATTTTTTAATAATTCACTTTTACATTTTGAAATTTTAATAATTAAAATAAATTCAAAATGACTGTCGGACAGAAATGGGAAGCACTGGACATGCAACTGAGTATAAGGGCACAAGACACACTTCTTTACACAAAGGGTTGTGGGAGCATGGAACAAGCAGCCCACCAATGTTATTGCAGCCGATACCCTGGCTTTTTTCAAGAAAACAGAGCAAACAGCAAGCCTCCTCTCGCCTGTGACCAGCATTGTGCGCTGAACACACCTCCGCTGAAAGTCTCTTCCGGTGGGCAAGCAGTCAGGCTCCCACCCTCTCTCAGCTCCTTACAGCACCTGCAGACCTGCCTGCTTGGGGGGTCAGACTGTTTGTTCTGGCAAAAGTCAACACATTTAAAACCCCCGGGAGCTGTTTTCACCAGCCTGTTCCTGTCCTGCAAGGAGACTGTCACAGTGCAAACAGATCTTGGCTGAAGCAGAAGGAAAAAGTAATCCTCTGATTTATTTGCTCAGTTAATCAGCCGAAACAAGTCCCACATTAATGGAAACTTTGGCATCACCTCAGCGACACCGATTACTAATAATATGACTTTCAAATCATTTTTTTAAATCCAGTCGTTCCTTCTTCAGTGACAAGGGTTTCACGTCTTTAAAAACCTTAAAACCTGGTTGTTATAAGGTGACCCCAAAAGCGTGCAGGAGTAGGGCGAGATAGAGAGAGGGTGAGTCAAGAGCTGAGCCCAACAAAGAGCCCTCTGAGCCAGCTGGTCCTGAGGCTCACTGGCCCAAGCCACACCGACACCAGCCAGCCTCAGGACAGCACTGCTAGAGCATCACAACTCAGACCCAAGCGAGTCACAGCACAGATCAAACAATATCTCACACACTGGGACACACACACACAGTCTCAGCATAAACTGGAATGCTGCAGAATCCTAAACAGAAAATACACACTAGCCAAATATCTAACTAAGATAAATAACAGCAAACAGGAACTGACCCTGACGAAGTACAGGCTCATTGAGCACAGCCTGGCCATAGAAACTGGGCGACACAGGGAGACCTGGCTGCCCAGAGAGGACAGGCTGTGCTCCCACTGCCAGCGGGGAGAAATAGAGACAGAGGTGCACTTCCTACTGAACTGCGACAAATATTCTGATTTTAGAGAAACAGTCTTCCCCAAATTTACACAGCTAATCCCGGAATCCCAAAATCCCACACCTGCCAGAATCACAACAGGTCCCAGTCCTACTGGGAGAGGGAGGAGGGAACTCAGTTGAACTGGCAGCCCAGTATGTGACCTCCTGTCACAGCCTGAGGAACAGCGAGCCTGTCTCCCAATAATGCTCCATATGTCTTTATGTAAACATTTAATGATTGTGTCTTTATTGTAATTGTCTGTAAATGTAGATTTGTTTTCGTTTTATTTTAATTGTATTTGTGTTGCAACACTGATTTGGCTCATCGGTCATGCCAGTAAAGCACCTTGAATTGAATTGAATTAAGAAGACAGATCTGTCACCCATGCAAGGCTGTGTGGAACGAATCTCTCCCCGTCTGCGTGCAGCATGCTGAAAGGTAAGAGGAGCGGGCTGCTTTTGCTTTGGTCTGAATTAGAAAGGCAAACAGAAAGAAGCTTGTTCAATTCTTCCAGGAGATCAAGGGCAGATAAGATAGCAGAAGTAACGCCCCTGTAACACTTTCCACAGCAGTACTCACAAGAGGACACATTCTTACCAAGGTCAGGAAACAGCAGCACAGCAAGCTGGAGACTGTTCACCCCAGCTGTATTCCCATCAACTATATCTCCTTCACCTGTAATCACTGCACCTGTATCTCCTCACCTGTAATCACTGCACCTGTATCTCCTCACCTGTAATCACTGCACCTGTATCCCCTTCACCTGTAATCACTGCACCTGTATC